TTTTTTATATTTTACAAAAATGATTTATAAAACATCATAATATGTGAGTATAACTATACTAAGCATGTTAATTAAAAATAAAGTATGAGTCATTTTCTTAGTTTTTGAGAAAAAATATCCTCAAGTGGAGTCACTAGATTGGCACCGATGTATAATACAATGGATGAGGTCATCTGTTCCCCTAAAGATTCACAGCCTTGAAAATCCTATGGGTTAGTTCTATTGTGTCCTAAACAGCACTGAGTCCAAATCCACTTAAAAAAACTGTCTGATGTATATATATATCAGTGGCAGAGTAGCAGACAACAATGCATAGTGATGCCCATTTATTGCTGCCGTTAGGTGCAGATGAGTTAGTTCAACTCATAGCAACTTTATGCACAATAGAGTAAAACACAACAGAAGGAAGTAGTGCTCAGTCCTGGGCTATCTTCACAATTCTTGCGATGTTTAAATCTGTTTTTGAAGTCAGTGTGTTAATTCATCTCATTGGGCGTCTTCATCTTTTTTGCAGACCAAGAACGATGTCCTTTTCCAGGGACTAGTCCTTCTTGTTTCAAAGTATATAAGACAAAGGCTTGTCATTCTAGCCCTACAAACTAATAATCAATGAGTATTTTCTATTCCTATTTAAATAGCTTACATTTAACAAAATCACTAAATATTGTCATTTTGTGCAAAAGACATGCTTTTTGTTTCTTTAACTAATATCTTTATTGTCTTTTTGTTTGTTTGTTTTATTTAATTAATTATTGGGTCCAGTTGATTCAGACCGTTAGCGTCATGGACAAAGACGACCCTCCACGAGGCCACAAATTCTTTTTTGAACCAGTACCAGAATTTCCCTTCAATCCCAACTTCACCATCATAGACAATAAAGGTAGAGCACACCTTTAAAAATAAAATGCATGAGACTATAAAACAGAAAATGTAAAACTGGTCTGAGTTTTTTCTGTCTTTTATTTCCCCCTGCCCAGATAATACAGCAGGAATCATGACTCGGAAAGACGGGTATAGCCGTAACAGAATGAGCACCTATCTATTACCAATTTTAATATTTGACAATGATTATCCAATTCAAAGCAGTACTGGCACACTCACCATTCGAGTTTGTGCCTGTGACAACCAAGGAAACATGCAATCCTGCAACGCAGAAGCCTTGATCCTCTCAGCGGGCCTGAGCACGGGGGCTCTCATCGCCATTCTTCTATGCGTCCTCATACTGTTAAGTAAGCAATGCCACTTTCCATACTCATTTAACAGATCATTCACTTCCTCGTTGCCTCATTGCCCACTTATTTAGCCTGAAGAGCATCTTTTCTATAGCTCGAAATTGTTAAATTTCAGCTTATTAATAAAATTAATTTTGTTGTTGTTGTTAAGTGCCATCAATTTAACTCGACTCATAGCAATCCTGTATTTGGTTTCTGAGGAGTAATTGGTGGGTTTGAACCGCAGAGCTTGTGGTTCAAAGTCCAGTGTTGATCCTACTGCGCCACATCAGGAGTCCATAGTTCAATAAATATTACTGAGCTAGATGGAAAAGTTGTTTTGAACTTCAAGGACTGCAGTTCAAGATCACCAGCCGTTCCTAGGAAACCCTATACAG